AGGATGAGGTGTTGTTTGTTTGGAGCTTGAGTACTAGTAGTATAGAACTACAACTTGTACATGAATGACAGCTAGGATGAGGTGTTGTTTGTTTAGAGCTTGAGTACTAGTAGTATAGAACTACAACTTGTACATGAATGACAGCTAGGATGAGATGTTACTTGTTTGGAGCTTGAGTACTAGTAGTATAGAACTACAACTTGTACATGAATGACAGCTAGGATGAGGTGTTACTTGTTTGGAGCTTGAGTACTAGTAGTATAGAACTACAACTTGTACATGAATGACAGCTAGGATGAGGTGTTGTTTGTTTGGAGCTTGAGTACTAGTAGTATAGAACTACAACTTGAACATGAATGACAGCTAGGATGAGGTGTTGTTTGTTTGGAGTTTGAGTACTAGTACTGTAGAACTACAACTTGTACATGAATGACAGCTAGGATGAGGTGTTACTTGTTTAGAGCTTGAGTACTAGTAGTATAGAACTACAACTTGTACATGAATGACAGCTAGGATGAGGTGTTGTTTGCTTGGAGCTTGAGTACTAGTAGTATAGAACTACAACTTGTACATGAATGACAGCTAGGATGAGGTGTTGTTTGCTTGGAACTTGAGTACTAGTAGTATAGAACTACAACTTGTACATGAATGACAGCTAGGATGAGGTGTTTTGTTTAGAGCTTGAGTACTAGCAGTATAGAACTACAACTTGTACATGAATGACAGCTAGGATGAGGTGTTACTTGTTTGGAGCTTGAGTACTAGTAGCAAAAAACTGTTTCATACAAGGGAGCTGTGATAGTCAGGATGAGGGGTTGATTGCTTGGAGATTTATATTAATTACTTATAATTCTCTATAGGTGAGCTGACATCTAGGATGAGGGGGTTGTTTTCCTAGAACTTGATACTAGTAGATTAGAACTATGTGTATTCTGTGCAGATGAGTTGTGACAGTTAGGATGAGATGTTGGTTGCTTTTAGATTGAGTATTGGTAACATACAAGTGTTTCATATGTTCTGGTTGTGACAGTCAGTGTATGAAGTTGTTTGTTTACAAGTATATATATATGAAGTCTGGAGCTGTTGTATATACGCTTGCTATTATGGTCAATTTGCTTTTTATTGGAATTTGATTATATGTATAAAAATGGAAGAAAGAATATTAGGGTAACTGGAAAAATGTATTGCAGAGATGGCTGGTATGGATATTAAAAACTTTAATTAAAATAAAGTACAAGTACTTTATTTTAATTAACGTTTTTAATACCCGTACCAGCCGTCTCTGCAATACATTTTTACTTCAAGTGGGTTTCTCGTCATCATGAATTAGGGTAATTGGATTTTTAATAATAAAACTTTTTCAAGTGTTTTTCTAACAGGTCATCATGACACTAGAATTCAGGGGAGATAAATTATCTACCTAATCATAATAATGCACACAGATCCCTGCATCACTCTTTCAATATCTACTGTAATATGAACTTTTCTTTAGGTGGTGTTTAAAAATAGGTAGGACAATAACTCCTGTTGCAACAAAGACATCTAAATCCAGAAACCTTTATGAATGTTTTGAAAATTTTACTTGAATACACTTGAATATAGATATATTAGATTCTTTAGTTATGGAAGGGTAAAATTTGCACTCTACTTTTCCTTGTCTTGGGGTTTTCTTAGGGCAGAGATTTAAAAATTAACACTAGTTGCTAATTTGAAGTATTTAATTAAGTCCACTTGCTTTAATTAATTACGTAGGCCACATTCATGGTACCATGCAGGGGAGTGTTCACTGGGGTGTTGTGGGGGCAGACCTCCTAGAAACACCACTGATGCTATAACAATTACTCTTGTATGGTCAAACTATGACTCTCTTAAGGTAGCCAAATGCCTCGTCATCTAATTAGTGACGCGCATGAATGGATTAACGAGATTCCCACTGTCCCTATCTACTATCTAGCGAAACCACAGCCAAGGGAACGGGCTTGGAAAAATCAACACTGTCCCTATCTACTATCTAGCGAAACCACAGCCAAGGGAACGGGCTTGGAAAAATCAACACTGTCCCTATCTACTATCTAGCGAAACCACAGTCAAGGGAATGGGCTTTGAAATGAAATACAAAATAAACTCAAGAAATAAAACTACAAATAAAAACAGAATAAACTAAAATTCAAGATAAGTTCAAAACATAATGAAAATTAAAACTGAAAGTAAAACTTGAAATGGTTAAAATGGCATAGAATTAATTGAAACATAGTGCAATCCAACATAAAACAATTAGATTTTGATATGGTTCTTTAATATTAATTCAAATCCAAATCGGCCCGACATGGCCAGGTGGTTAAGGCACTTGACTCGCTATCTAAGGGTCACGTGTTCGAATCCCTGTCCCACCAAATATGCTCTCTCTTTCAGCCATGGAGGCATTATTATGTAACGGTCAATCCCACTATTCATTGGTAAAAGAGTAGCCCAAGAGTTGGTAGTGGGTGGTGGTGACTATCTGCCTTCTCTCTAGTCTTTCACTACTAAATTAGGGATGGCTAGTGCGGATAGCTCTTGTGTAGCTTTGCGCGAAATTCAAACCAAAACAAATCAAATACACATCATTAAAATAAATACAACTAAAAAAACTCTACGTAATGAAATAAAGTAAAATTGTAAGGAAACTGAAAACACTATACTGATTAAAATAAAACTCAGGATAATCATACTCCCCTCCTGGCGGCTGCAAGATCATTTTTGTGGGAGGGCTCAAAGCTACTAAACACAGCACTGGTTATGGGTCTAGTAAGTGTTAAGTCACAGTAGTACTTTGTGTATTCACAAGCTGTATTGGTGTAAGTGTTATCAAAAAGAAGTGAAAGATCAAAGCTTTACCATTTCTGTTTAATTTAATGAAGAAGGCAAGATTTCTCCAAATCTTTGAAGTGTTTGGAATCTGTATGAGATTTTTTGTTCAATATACTGAAGTTTTTTTGCATTCTTGATAGGCAGAAGAATTGCACTTATGTAAATGAGGCCAGTTTTATCACCTGCAGACTCAAGTGCACATTGGAGGCAGGTCTGTCACAAAACAGGGACTCTTTTAAACATCATGCAATGCAAGATGCATATCAGAGAGCAACATACCATTGCTCACTAGAACAATTCATCAGTGCTCCAAGTTCCAATTGGTCAAAACTAGAAAATGAAAGATTCACCACTGTCAAGATGAAATTTGCCCCAATTAATGAAATGTTCATGATTTTGTGGAAACTGTCCTGGTCTAGTCACCCATGAGCATTTCATCTTGAAAGTGGCATATTGTTATTTGGCTTATATTAATTGTCTTGAGGGTTTGTGCACTGTAAATGCAAGAAATAGGAATGCTTGAGTTTAGGCTGCTCCTGAATTAAAGCAGGATTACCATGCACTGCAGTGACTGCAAACATAGCAATGGACTAGAAAATGTTGAGCAGGATAGTGATGAGGATTTGAATGTAAGAGTATTGGTGCAGTCACATAGTGTCTAGAGTCAAAGGTCAAGTAACCATCATACCTTCTAACGAGCTTTTATTTCCAGTGATTTCTTTTTTAAAAGTGTTATGTATTGTATTTTATGAGATATTCCTGTCGTAGAGTTCAAAGATCACCCAGTGTGTTCATGGCTCACTGCAGCAAGAACAGATATTTCCAAACTTCTACAAATTTTATTCCATAAGTGAACTTTGAACATTGTTCTCAGGTTATTACAGTTATGTTAATGGATAATGACAGTGACATCACTGTAATCACATGGATTTTAAATTAACATGAAATACCAATATTTTAAATCCATTTTCTTTACTGTTATCCTTTATTATTTTGTCCATTTCTGTCTTAAGGGGAAACAATACAGTAGTCCAAACAGTCAGGTTATGAACTTTTATTAAATAACCACTGCAATTATGCTTAAGGCAATCTAGGCCTGGCTGTATTCTGTTTGCAAGAACATCAACTAAATGTAAGAATACCTGCATAAAAATTGAAATACTTACCTGAATAAACATATTTTTAATTTAATATTTCTCACATAATTGTTTAAGTCAGGAATGCTCTTCCATTAGTTGCAGGTCAGGAAGTATTTTGACAAGTGTGTTTACTGTAGATCTTCATGGTTGTTATATGTCAATGGTCTTCTACTCTCACTGGGATTAAAATATCTCATCCTGTACATAAATGTAAATTTTTCTTCCATGTACTAAAGATAAGTTACATACAACAAATATTCAAATTCAGCTTTCCAGAAACAGTTTGGTTTAAATCGTATCAGTAATTCTGAGATCAGCATGTCAGACATTTTAGTTCCAATGGCACATATTCAACCTCACTTTAATCAACACACTTTTACTGCCACTAATAATAAACACATTTATGTAATATTCTTTTTACATACCCAAATCAGTCCTTTACTGTGTGACAACTTTCATATCATAGAACAGTAATATCAATCACATTTCCTAATAACGACACACTGACATTAAAATTTACTTACTCCATAGCCAACCTACAACCAACCATATATATAGTTGTCATAGGAACAGATACAATACTTGCCATTAATCATAGACATTTTTTTAGGGCCCTAAATCAATCTATTATGTTAATAACCATTTTACCCATGCATCTTAATTTTTAATATATGTTTAATATTTATGACAGTTGTTACCAAATGATATAGGAGAAACCAGCCCTAAATCAATCTATTATGTTAATAACCATTTTACCCATGCATCTTAATTTTTAATATATGTTTAATATTTATGACAGTTGTTACCAAATGATATAGGAGAAACCAGCCACTTGCTCAATGAATGCACACAAGAACATATGTGTAATGTTTCAGTTGTGGATCAAGATAAGCTTGTAGTTGACATTTTAGCAAAGCTGGCAATTACATTTAAGGTGAATTATGTCTGAAAGTCAAAGGATGAAATAATAAAGATATAACTGGAATAGAACCTCATCTCATTTGGTAAAGTAAAAAAAAGGAACCATATATAAACTGGTAATATACATAATAACCTATATCAGTGTTCTGCTAAACTTTGTGTTTTAAACTAGTGTCAAACTATTCAGATGGTTAAACAAGGTCACCATATCAATAAAAAAAAATTATCCAGCCATGATGTACTGTGATGTTTTACATATATACATGTTTCTCAATTCTTTCAGGTTATTAATTGTGAAATCTAGTGGTGTTTAACATTATTAAATGTTCTGTTTTTTGTTTTTTTTAAAAGAGAGTTAGGTGGGAATGCAATAAGTAGGATTCCAGAAGGATCCTTTAAGGAGCTGCCATCACTTAGAATAATGTAAGTATATCATGACACAAGTAAAAATTATATATTTGTGTGTGTATGTATCTGGAGTTGTATGAGTCTTGTGTTCTCGTCATATTACATAAAATTAAATTACATGTCATATTTCCACAAAGGTATTATGTATCTACTATAAAACAAGGTATATTACAAAGTAATGCTGAATTTACCTTAGACTAACTGAGAAAAGAAATATATAGATTGGACATAAATTGTAATACACAATGAAAACAATCTGTGTTCGTCAGAGACACAAAACACTGTGTGTGCACTTGCATATGGACTCTGGACTGTTGCTTTTCACTGGATTAAACCAGTATCTTTCATCGAGATGTATTCCTGCTACACAATGCACTCAGGATCTGGTATCTGAATGTTATAGTCTAACATTTCTTACTTAATGGGAAATGTTGGATTTACTCACAGTGACTAGTTATTTTTACTCAGATATAAGGAAGACTAAAACCTCAAGATATATGGCCTACCATTGGAGGACACTGGTTGTTGACATTCTTGCAGAACATGCAGCATTAAAGCCATGTGCACACTGGCAGAACAAGTGTTATCTCTGTAAAATAACAACGGAAGAGAAGCAGCTAGAAGGAAATCAACTGAATTTCATGACCATGTGTTAGGCAAAACCTTCACAAACCTAGAACAAATTAAAAATTTGGAAAAATTCTATATTGAAATGAGAAGGTATAAAATGCATGATATGCCTGCATAATTCATATTTATTAAACAATATAAATAAAGATGTGGAGTTTATAAATGTGTATATTTGAAAGTCTGATTTCTGTGATCTTGGTGGTCCTTTTGGTTATAATTTATAAATCCAGTTGCATTTCATAAAATCTGGTAAGATTTATAGTAGAATTAAATTATTTAATACTAAGCTCTATAACAAAAGATGTAAACATGAAAGTTCTAAATTTAAATAATTGGCAGAACTCAAAGTGAAAATTATAAAACTGTAATGTTTATTATCTATGAGATCTGTTAGAAGCAACAGTTGTTGCAAAAGCTTTGCAAACTGAAGCAGAAAACTATTTGGATAAAAATAGATAACTTTCTTTTGTGAAATACTTTTTTTTTTTATGCTTTCAGCTTTATTTATATTATTATTTACAAACCCTGTTCATTATTATTTACTAAAATTTGACAATTTGCAGTAATTTGGTATAGTTTCATCAGTCAAAGATAATTCTCTTTTAAGAGTTTTAATTCATTAATAAAATTAAATGATGAAATGAAGTAGGTAAAAATGCTTTCTACACTCTACTAAATGGATTTATTATGCAACTTTTCAGCCTTAGGCCCACTTCAGGCAAAGATCAAGGCCAAAATATATCCATTTAGTAATAGTGTAGAAAGTATTTTTATCTACTCTTTTTGTTGTTTGATTTTATTAACTTACAGTAATTTTAGATTAGTAAGTAGTTATATGACTGATTTAATGTTCTAGGATCAGTATCGTATATAAAAACAGCTGAACAAACAATTCTTAAGAGACAAACAATACAAAATACTTAAATGGTATCACTATGTTTGACAAAGTTCAAAATCAGACTGTTTATGAAAAAAAAATGTGAAATAAGCAAACAGAATTATAATTAAATATACTGGTGTTACCACCAAGTCAAAAGATAGGTAAAATTTAGATGAAATAAACAAAGTTAAGGACAGTAACCTCTTAAGATTTTAATGATACAGCGTACACATTTCTGTTTTGATGTATGTTGTACATTCTATTTACATTGAATAGACAGTACCAATATTTCACCTCCAGATTTAAAAATTTGTGGAGTTGGGACTTTGGTAATCAATTCAATTTTGGTGATTGTTTGTGTATAATTGGCAATATTTCCTGCTGATGTTGAGAGGTGATTCGTAATTGAAGTACAGACTAGAACTGAGAGATAAAATCAATTATTTATGAGCATTGAATAAATCCATTAGTGTTATGTAAAATAATCAGTTAATTCAAATTATGATTAAATTGATTAATGCCATTAAAATGATCAACTAATTCAAATTATTGTTTCCAGCTATCCAGTAGTTGAAATATTGCCATTATAATTTTTTTTTATTACTTTTGATCAATCCAAGTTTATTCAGCTTAATTTATTAGCATCACAACTCATTAAAATAATCAACTAATCAAAATTAGGTTTTCCAGTCCTTAGAATTTTCAATTTTTAAAACTATCCAAGTAATCCAAATATTACCATTGGGTTTGTTTGTTGTTAACCACAAAGCTACACAATTTGTGATCTGTCCATTGCAGTTTTTGAAACCCAATTTTTAGAGTTAAATAAATGGTTTTTACCCCATGCTGTCTCTTGAGAATAATCAACTAGTTGAATGTAGTTGAGTAATGAGCCAGACAGTTAAATTTTTTTCAAATTCCACTAATTGTCCAGCTCTAGTACAGAAATTGAGCAATTATAAACATGTGACAGCTGGATATGCTATATTCCTGTCCCTGGTGGGAAGGTTGTGTACTTGATGACTATTCTATACACTTGGCAAGTATTGTAAAGTGAGTTATGCATGACAATAACTGTTGATTAACATGACCATTCACTACCTTTAGAATGAACTTGAACTTCAGGGGATCAACTGGATTGGTCAATGGAGACAAAAAAAAGTTAAGAACAGACTTTAGTTGTGCTGAACTTTGAGAAAATTTCAAATATTGCAGTTCGAGTGTACAGCTTCTCAGACTTGAGATCATCTGTACTCTTTACAAATGAGTTATAGTTCCATGCCTCAACCAGTTGTATCTGTACTCTTTACAAATGAGTTATAGTTCCATGCCTCAACCAGTTTATCTGTACTCTTTACAAATGAGTCATAGTTCCATGCCTCAACCAGTTGTATCTGTACTCTTTACAAATGAGTCATAGTTCCATGCCTCAACCAGTTGTATCTGTGCTCTTTACAAATGAGTCATAGTTCCATGCCTCAACCAGTTGTATCTGTGCTCTTTACAAATGAGTTATAGTTCCATGCCTCAACCAGTTGTATCTGTACTCTTTACAAGTGAGTCATAGTTCCATGCCTCAACCAGTTGTATCTGTACTCTTTACAAATGAGTCATAGTTGCATGCCTCAACTAGTGATTGGCAGGTTTATGTTTGGTAATGTAGAGGTGAACAAAATGCTCCATGGAAAATTGCTATAGTGGCAGTTCAGATATAGTATGCAGAAGCATTGGTGTGAATTGATGTGCAGATTTTTTTTTGTCTTTTCAAGGAATGGAATTACTGATAAATGATCCATTGATGTGCTTATTTAGCCCAGATATAGGACTTTTTGTGAATATAGTCAGACCCAATTTTGTCCTGATTTACTTCATTCTGTTATGACTTTGATGGACTACCTCAAACAAGAAACTTTGGAGGTTATGAGTTAGGATTGTGATTTACTACCATGAACAAGAAACTTTGGAGGTTATGGGTTATGACTATGATGGACTACCGTGAACAAGAAACTTTGGAGGTTATGGGTTAGGATTGTGATGTACCACTGTGAACAAGAAACTTTGGAGGTTATGGGTTAGGATTGTGATGTACTACCATGAACAAGAAACTTTGGAGGTTATGGGTTAGGATTGTGATGGACTACCATGAACAAGAAACGTTAGAGGTTATGGGTTATGACTATGATGGACTACCTCAAACAAGAAACTTTGGAGGTTATGGGTTAGGATTGTGATGTACCACTGTGAACAAGAAACTTTGGAGGTTATGGGTTAGGATTGTGATGTACTACCATGAACAAGAAACTTTGGAGGTTATGGGTTAGGATTGTGATGGACTACTGTGAACAAGAAACTTTGGAGGTTATGACTATGATGGACTACCGTGAACAAGAAACTTTGGAGGTCACAGATTGGCTAGAACATCCGGTCTGCAAGGAAAACATACTCATTTTGTAATACGAAGAGCATATTTCAGAAGTACCTCACAATTAGATCATTATTTAGTATATAAATTACATCATTATTTAGTTTATCTAATCAATGAGATACTAAAACTTTAGACTTACCACTATAAAAAGAATTATGTATGTAAAAATGTATAGGTAATGTATATTGTTTAGTATCCCTTTCATAAATTATAATCTGTTTTTGATAGTTATATGATTTAGTGGAGTTGTATTACAACCAGTTGGGGTTTTGCTGTACAACCCAAAGTTCTATGCAACAATCATATGGATGTAAGAATGTGTGATAATGCCATAAAACAAAAACTGAAACATAACAATGAAATTATTTTATTCATTGTTGGATTGGACCTTAGTAGCAAATAAAGAGCTGGAAAAGCATGATTTTATTTTACTGATGTATTTTTATATACTGTAGTATGGTAATATGCATGCTTAATATTTACTGATGTATTTTTATATACTGTAGTATGGTAATATGCACGCTTAATGTTGAGCACAATGTAGGTTATGGTTGAGAGATTATAGAAATTCTCACCTGAACATAAATTTTATCTTTAGTAGTATTTTGTAATTTTACAGCAAGAAGAATTTTGTAAAGTATGTCTAAAATATGGTATTGGACTGGAGCTTTATACAATAGTAGGTATATTATTTTACCTAGATGGGAATAGGCTCTGCTCAATATACACACTTTTACCTTCCAAAACGTTTGCTTTCGGGTAGATCTAAAACAGATAAATATATTTTCCAACAACTTAGAAGATCATAGAAAGCTGAAATTGATTTTTAGTGAAATAAGCTCAGAATCTATGCCCAGTTGCTCTGAAATGGGTGAGCACAAAAAGTATGAAATATTTGAAAACTGTGGTAATTTTAACATCATATAATAGAATAATCTTTTCTTTACCCAAAAAATGTTTCAAGGCAAAGTTGAATAGCCTGAGAACAAGCTCCTTTATATCCAATACAAACATTTCTGTGCATGATATTTAGGAAATCTGTATGTGCTATCTAAAATTATTCATTTATTTTAGTGCATTCAAATACACAGTTAAAGTCAATAATGACTCAATCTAATTTAAATTACAAAAGAAAAACAAATGTTAAATCAAGATGAAGAACCGTCAAGTCACTAAAATGATATGTGGTGGGACGTATTGGGAACATTGGCCAGTGGTTTGTGTAAATAACTCTGAAACGTAATACTTCATTGACATGCAGGAAGTATAAATTGTACTATAACTCGTGAAGACGAAAAAAAAAGTGTGTCAAAATATATAACATGAAAGGAGGTTTTTAATTGAAGCTGTTGATGGCTTTAATAAACTTTTAGTTCTATAAATATGAACCATTGCATTTTAATTATTTATATGATATGAATACATATCTAAAAATGGGCATGAAGAAATTATTTTACACCATGCATGTTCATTGTAGAGCTGGGCAAGTTAATTGATTAATTAGTGTTTCCAGTTGATACTGTTTTAAATTGTTGCAATAAGAGATTAATGTCATGAAAATACAACTAATCAAAACCGATTATTACTGTTTCTGATTATTCCAATAGTACATTAATCGAAATTGCAATTGATTGATTAATTTCATGCAAATACAACTAATTGAAGGGAAGGCAACTGGCTGGCAGCACCTGCTACCACCTCATTCGTTACTTAAGTGTTAAATAAAATGTAAATTTACTGTTGTTGTTTTTTGTATTGTGTTATTTTTCTAATTTTATTTGATAACTGTTTTGTTTAGTGTTGTATAAGCATGTATGGACCTATGGCAGCTGATCTAAACCCCCACCAATGTTTTTCCTAAAAATTAATAACTTTAATGTCATATTAGCAACCATGAAACTAGAGGAGGGAGTCTGGACCCCTTTATATCTACTACCTTGATTGCTTTCTCTAGCATGCTTGTGTGTAGTAACCCTACAACTTCTGTGCCGCCTAGCAGACTGATCCTTTCGAGAAGATTGTGGATCAGCACACGTACATTAAAGTTTTGGCAACAAAAAACACAAAAGAAAAATAGAAATAGATTGGATTCTATTGTATGATAATTCCTATTATATTATAATTATTGCAAATTAAGGAAATTTAAAACTTGGTTTGTTTTTATTTCAATTTGTACTTGTTTTTTTTATTTTGCAGAGGTCTTGAAAAAAACCCCTTAATATGTGACTGCCAGTTATGGTGGCTTGTTGCCTGGGCAGTGTTGGACAAAAATCGAATAACTCTCAAATCTACTTGCAAGATTCCACATGAGTTTGAGAATACTCAGCTTGTTGAAATGAAGAAACATGACATGCATTGTAGTAAGAATTTTTTTTTCATAAACATTTCTTTTTCATTTTAAACTTCTGTTTAAAGGAAATTTTACATGTCTTTTTGATTACAATTAACAAAATTTAAAGACACTTATAGTTGATTGTGATTCAACAAGGTAAAGTGGTAACAAGTTACTTGTGATTCAACACAGTAAAGTGGTAACAGGTTACTTGTGATTCAACACAGTAAAGTGGTAACAGGTTATTGTGATTCAACACAGTAAAGTGGTTACTTGTGATTCAGCACAGTAAAGTGGTAACAGGTTATTGTGATTCAGCACAGTAAAGTGGTTACTAGTGATTCAGCACAGTAAAGTGGTTACTTGTGATTCAGCACAGTAAAGTGGTAACAGGTTATTGTGATTCAGCACAGTAAAGTGGTTACTAGTGATTCAGCACAGTAAAGTGGTAACAGGTTACTTGTGATTCAACACAGTAAAGTGGTAACAGGTTATTGTGATTCGTGATTCAACACAGTAAAGTGGTTACTTATGATTCAGCACAGTAAAGTGGTTACTTGTGATTCAACACAGTAAAGTGGTAACAGGTTGCTTGTGATTCAGCACAGTAAAGTGGTAACAGGTTACTTGTCATTCAACACAGTAAAGTGGTAACAGGTTATTGTGATTCAACACAGTAAAGTGGTTACTTGTGATTCAGCACAGTAAAGTGGTAACAGGTTACTTGTGATTCAACAGAGTACAGTGGTTACTTGTGATTCAACACAGTAAAGTGGTGACAGGTTTAATTTTGGTTCAACACAGACTAAAGTGGTAACAGTTTAATTTTGATTCAACACAGACTAAAGTGGTGACATATCATTTCAGTTTTTGTTGTTTACAGTATTAACTGGTAACAGACCCATTGTGCATGAGCACTTAGAAGTGCTATCAGTTTAGTATTATGTTACTTCTGAATAAAGGAGAGTTTATAGTGAAGATGCAGATTCAGTTGCTTGTACATTTACATCCATTAGAAGCAAGTGTTTTTCTCACTAAACTTGTGAATTAAGAATACAACAATATCATCTTATGTAAGCAATCATTAAGTGTTAATGTACTTAGAATTGTTTATGTAGATATAATTATGTATAGTGAGTAGAAAGATACCAATAAATGTATTGTGCATACTTATGGGTATAATCTGTGTATATATTTGTGTGAATTGATTAGAAATACTTGTGAAATTCAGATAAAATTTGTATTTTTTACTGTCACATACTATATATCACAAGATTGTTCAGCATTCTTTATTGTTTACACTGAGTTCATGAATTATTGTATGAAGTAAATGTTTCATCAGTTAAAATCCACCTGATGCTCTATTACTTTTGGTATACAACCTATTTTGTTTTTGAAATGCTGTTATTGAGAAGTGAATGCTGGTTTGTGAAGTTAGAGCTCATAGTAACTAAGCATGAAAGCAGTGTTGTTTTTATTATTAATAACAAGTTAACAACATAATGAACTGAAAAAAATGTGATTTTCAGTTAGTGTGAAATTAGTTGGAAGCTGACCATGATAAAAGTGATGACATGTAAGTTAGTGTAATTTATTAGCATTAACTTTATTATTGACAAGAAGTATGATAAAATATACCACTTAAATGTGTAAACAAACCCAAAAGTGTGGTAGATCTTCACAGATCTAATTTGTCACGTACAAATGTAGTACACCTTATGAAAATTTACATGGGAACTTGTCAACTTCAATAAGTTGTACATAATATTGTATTTAATTTTCCAGATTGGCCTCTCCAGTTGCCAGTGTTTGAATTACAGCCAAAAACGAACCAGCTAGTTTTTGCAGGAGATTCTCTCACCTTCTTGTGTCGCGTATCCAACATAGAACAAGATACTCACTTAACCTGGATTCAGGATGGCGAAACAATCATGGCCGATCCACTAGGAAGTGTTCTGATTGAACAACATATGAATGCAGATAAAAGTGTCATTGTTAGTTCCCTGTCTCTAAGGCAGCTTCAGACAGGTCACTCTGGGTCGTGGATGTGTCATGTAGAGACATCAAGAGGGAATGAATCACTTGGTATCAGAATCGTTGTTGTTGCTGAAAATGCAGGTCGTTGTCCACGCACTGTGACTTCAGATAATAAGGTTTAAGTGTGGTTTATCAAATCTATTGTACAGAAATTTAACAATTTTCTTGTTTTTGTGTAGCTTTGTTATTATAAGGGTTTGATACATTTGATATTGTCATACATGTATATGCATGTAAACAGAGAGAGAGAAAGAGAAAAAAAATATACTTGTTGTTGTAACTTAGTTCTCTTAAAGTTTTTTTTGAGTAGAAGTTCTTATTCTAAAGGTATTTTTTATGGAACCTATTTAAATTTGTACTGTTTGTTTCTTTGAGTATAAGTTGTTATTCTAAAAGCATATATGTATGCTTTTACCTTTTGAAATTTTATTATTTGTTTCTTTGATACAAGTTGTTATTCTAATGGTACATTTTTTAAGTTGTATTATCTGTCTCTTTGAGTATAGGTTATTATTCTAAAGGTATATATGTTTTTAAGTTGTATTCTGTTTCAAGGACAGATCAAATAAAGGTAATATCTGATATTACCTTTATCTGTTCCTTTTAAAGCCACTTTATTTCATAGTAAAAAAATAATAAACAAATATTTATTTCAAGTTACAAATGTTTTTGTGATTTTAAAATCTATTTTAAACAGAAAATAGAAATATATTGTTAAAAGTAACAAATGAGATATATCTGTACTATTTATTTCAATGTATGATTAGTGTTGAGATTTGATTATTGAAGTCACCAAACAAGACATTGCATATAATTGTTACAGGGGCAGTATGTGTGGCCCGAAACACTGGCAGGAATAACTGTGCAGCTTCAGTGTATGGGAACGCCATCTGGTGCCTTAGGATATGGTATTGCACATGCTTATCATACCTGCACGGCGAAAGGTGTGTGGGAAGACTTGAATACGTCAGGGTGTCCTTATGTCTCTGAAGTAACAAAAGTTTTGTATCAGTTTTCTAAAGTAAGTAAGAACAAACTAATGTATATACTCTTTCCTTTTAAACTTGCCTTAAAAGTATTTTTGAGCTGTTTTAAACCCTAGTGTCATATTATCACTTAACTTTGTTATAAAGTATGGCAATATGTAAGGTTTTATCTGCATGTAAGTAACTTTACTGTCTCAAGTGAACTCTAATACCTGAGTGTCGGCATCATTATTTTCTCAAATGAGTTATCTGATACCTGAGTGTAGGTGACTTTACTGTTACAAGTGAACTCTCTGATACCTTAATGTAAGTAACTTTACTGTCTCAAGTGGACTCTGATACCTGAGTGTAGGTGACTTTACTGTTACAAGTGAACTCTCTGATACCTGAATGTAGGTGACTTTACTGTCTCAGAGTGAGTTATCTAAAACATAAATGTACGTAACTTTACTGTCTCAGAATGAGTTATCTAAAACATAAATGTAGGTAACTTTACTGACTCGGAGTGAGTTATCTAAAACATAAATGTAGGTAACTTTACTGACTCAGAGTAAGTTATCTAAAACATAAATGTAGATAACTTTTCTGTTTCAAGTGAGCTCACTAATATCTGAGTGTTTTATCTTTACTGTCTCAGAATGAGTTATCTAAAACATAAATGTAGGTAACTACTGTCTCAGAGTGAGTTATCTAAAACGTAAATGTAGGTAACTTTACTGTCTCAGAGTGAGTTATCTAAAACATAAATGTAGGTAACTTAACTGACTCAGAGTGAGTTATCTAAAACATAAATGTAGGTACCTTTACTGTCTCGGAACTGAGACCTAAAACAATATAACTGGTTTATTTGCTTAATCTTTTTGTATTATAATGTTACATAAAGCTCACAAAAATAAATTGTGTATACTTATAAGCCTGAGCTAATATGCAGAGTTCAACACTTTTTTTAAATGTTTCAGTCATGCTCAATATATTAGTTTATCAGGTTTATAGCAAATTAAAGCCTATTGTGTTTAACAATAAATTATAAAAAAATATCAATTTCTGATTTTTGCTTTTCAAAAAACTTGTGATTCTAAAAACTTTGTAAGGCAGTTCTAAATTTTGTATTCTGTAACAGATAAATGACACAACAGTAGATTTAAATCATTTGAAAATAATATCTGCATTAGCAATGAAAGATATTTTGGTTTCAGACAAACTTAACCTTGAGTAAAACCAACGTTGTTGACAGTGTGAATGGCTTGAGAAACTACACTGGCAATGGTGACAGACTTCATGACAAAATGGATGTTGTTTTTATTGCAAGAACTCTTGAAAATTATCTGGAATTTGTTCCTGAATACAAAGAGGTAATTTGAATTGTTTTTTCATTGTTTAATGTTTAGTAATGCTTGTTTAACCATTTACTAAATGAAATATATAATTCTATATGGGAGTGAATTTCATTCAGTCTTTAGGTATTTTCCCAATGTTTCTTTTGAATTTATGGACATTTTTTGTGATTTTGGTTGGATTTGATCTCGGTTGGTGTGCTAGACTGTGGGTCTACAGGACCATTGTAATGTTTCTGTTAATGCAAGAAAAAGAAAATATTGTGATCTTCACTTTAGAGCTGTGGGTGCATTATAACAGTGACAGTGAAATCCCACTATTAAGTCAGACAAGAGTAGCCCAAGAGTTGGTAGTGGTATTGACTAGCTGCCTTCTGTTTAGTATATCAACTCAAAATTAGGGCAACTAGTGCAGATAGCCCTCGAGTACCTTTGCACAACTATCCAAAACTAGAACAACCTCTTCACTGTACTACTTTCTTTTTGTTTCAGATTTGGAAAACCTTTGTGGATAAGTTGTATCATACTTAACATGTGGATTGTATGTATTTCACATTACCTTGCCAATATAGATCAATAAGCACTGCATTTATTGGACTATGGCTGATACTTTGCAAGGTTTGAAAATGATGCTCTTAAATGGATCTTATTCAAAATGATTTAATTGGTGTAGGTATTAGATCAGGATTGCTCATTACACATGGCTTTTCATGATGTATGTCAACAACTTGTATATCCAGTCATCATGTCCCTGGTCTGCATCTACACAGGTTAATAGCTCCTTGTTGCAATTCATTTAAAGTGTGGTGATTTGGTGCAGATGGTGCCTGAAATGGATTCATTCTTAGAAAGTAACATTAGATGTCTGATACAAAGTTCTTTTCATAATTATAAAAACATGCAAGGCATAGAATTTTAAGCATATCAGTAAAACAAAGAAAGGCATGATTTTAGTAAGGATACAAACAGGCTGTCAGAAACTACTTTTTAGTAGTATATATAATAATGTAAATATATAGGTGTGTTGAGCTAAGGATTCTTCTACAATAGATGTCTGTAACTTGTTGGTGATAAATTTGACAATAAACAAACAGCACGCACTCCACTTGTTTTTAAAATAATATAGATAATCAAAACAAGTTAAGAACGTATGTACAAAATTCTTAATACTTAGTTGTATCTTAAACACTATACAGTTCTCTTCTTCTAGTCAAAAGTCCACTTAGGCCTATTCAATTGCTTTAGAATTCAGTTGGCAAACTGAACTATTTTACTCTATTTTTATTTCAATATTATCCATACACAATTCACTTATGCTGTCATGTTAACTTCTGATAATCATCTGCCCTTTTGTCAAAGTACTACACACAGGCAGGTTCAATTATTTTAGAACATCCTTTGATGAGACAACTTATTCTTCTTATCTCTTTTAAACTTTTCACTCTAACATATCAACTGTTAGGCCATTAACTCCCACAGTGGTTAACTTTACATTTTCTAACTTTTTTCTGACCAAACTTCTCTTTCATGTGACTTTACTTGTACTCCGTTTCTGCTTGTCTGATCGCAATTATTTATATGTCTGTCACTAAGGCCTTCTAGAAATCGCCATACACAGCCTTGACATCAGTGGATTCCAAACACAACATTTGATAGCTTCAACATCAATGAATTACAGACATAAAATAACTTAATTAATAATACTATCTACACTAAACAATTTTATATCTGACACAGTCTACCATTCAAATATTGAAGGTGGTGAAGAAAGTTTAACAGCTTGACTTTGGAAGTAACCCAAGAATACAATGGTTCCTTTCAGCCAAAATTGGAATCTCTCTTGGAACTACAAACAAGATAATTCACATGGATTTAGATTCACAAGATTCTTCTGAAGCATGTTGCTAAATAAAAGATCAACTGTCAGAAGCCATGCAAATTGAAGTAGGTCATCACAATCGAAGAAGCATATGTCTGTTTATATGTCTACTGAAGTCTGGGCAATTTATCATCATCTTGCCAGTGATACAAAATTTCAAACATAGCACAGAGCATGTCAAGAAAGTTTCCTATATGGTCTATAGTGGTTGCAGATTATAGTTATAATCATAACTTAAACATTCAAAGAAATCAAAAATATACTGTAAGGAAACATCATTTTTGTGTGAACTGGATACGGTAGGATATGGCTCTATCAAGACAAAATGTCTGACTGCATGTCACTCAAATTCAACATGCCAGTTCCTCCACAAGATGCAAATAAAAACAGGAATTTGTGCTATACCATATGCCAACACCTTTCATGGGTCCTGAGATGTCATCATCTACTTACAGCTTATGGATTTTTGAAAGCATCTAAAGAAGAGGGCAATAATGTTGATCTTAGTGTATTGTAAAAGTCTCCTGCAGTAGAAATTGAGCTGCAGAGTAATAGGCCAAATCCAGGGCTATTTCATAGAATGTCACCTGTGGTGGAAAAAAAGGGTTATAAAATATAGGCTCTCTCATCCATACATCATTACAATAGGCCATGAGCACCCTGCTTTGTAATTACTTCATTGTAAACTATTTCATGTGGTTGAGTTTTCAGGTCAAAAACTTAAATGGTTTCATATTTTCCTTTTTATTTAATTTAATTTAATTTGGAATGTTTGGTCATGTTGGTTTACAATTAGTCAATATCTTCATGTTGGTTTGTTTTTTTGCTCTTGCTGTTTTATTATTTAAACTTTTTAAGCTCATAATGTAAACATTGGTGATACTTCACAGTGTATATATCAGTAGTCAGGTTTTTTCCTTAAAGTTTTCAGTAGCAGCTGATATTGTTTTTGCTCGGATATTAAAATCACTAATATCAATTTTAAAAAATGTTAATAATTTATTAATCAGTGTTTCAATTTATATCTTTATTGATTTACACCCGAGCTCAAAACTATTCTGATGAAGGTGTTAGCCAAAACACTGATTTTGATCCTGTACTTCCCTCCTCTCACAAGATTAGCTTTTCCAATTTTGTGCTGCCCTCTATATGCGAACTCTTTTATAATCCATGCCATAAACCTTCCACACACCTCTATTGGAATCAAAGATTCCAACATGCTTCTCTTTCAAATCATTATGTGTCATCTCCCCACCAATAGGAGAGTACTACTATCACATAATGCATGACTCCCTCTATGCACCACTATCGAACCATCACTTCTCATTTGGCAGTGCTTGAATTCAGACATCTTTCTTTTTGGTCCTTACTTCTCGAAGTGGGTTTAACTTAATTTAATATACTTTATTTCAAGAATATTTTTTTGCTTTATTTTTGAAAGCGTTTGATTTACTCGTGTTTTCCCGCAAATGTTTTGCTTGCTTGTTTGATATCAAGCATGAATTGTGAAGTTAACATTACCACTTTGGATACATCTCATTTGTCTGATGCCTTACTTCAAGCCACAGGTGTGAGTGACCTGTCGGGTGAATTATCAGTCTTTAATCGCAGGGAGATTGCAAATTATATGGGAGAACCTATGTCTCCTGCTGTTGCCCCACTTCCTCCCGAGCCTTTCAAGCCTGGCCACGCTCATGGGGATTTTGATTGTTTGTTTCCCACTCCGTAGTTTGCCATGCCTTCCTAAACCCTACCTGATGATTTTGTTCAGCCCTCATGGGCTTTATCTCAGGTATTTGATGTTTTGTCTATTGCTTCTATTTCTTATGACCCAAATCCTTTCCTATAACATGATTCTGCCTCCCAACCTTATATAGTTTCCACGCCGTCCCCTGATTTTCAAGTTCACACTGAGCATTTTGCCTCCCAAGTAGATGATGACATTAGTATGTCTCATCCCCCACATGCTTCCAATCAGTCTGCTCCCTTGCTTACCATTTTGGTTCAGTTTTGTCTGTTTGGAGGGGGTGACTCGAATCTCCCATTCATCTTACCCGTAACCAGTATTCCCGCCTTCATCTTACCCTAAGGACTCTTTTGCAGTACCTCTCCTCAATCCATCTCCTGTCTGAAGATCTTTACAGGAACCCTGAGGGGTTTTCTATCTGAGGCGGTGCAAGACTTCCTCACGCAACACGCTATCGAATCTGCTCCATGCGGTTCATAGGGGTTTTACTCCCGCCTGTTTGTAGTTCCCAAAAAGCCTGGGGACTGGAGGCCAGTGATGGACCTGTCCTGTCTTAATTGATATGTTAACACCCCATGCTTCACCATGGAATCCTACCTTACTCTTCAGTGGGCTTTTTCTCCAGGCCTTGGGATGACCAAAATGGATGTCTCCAATGCTTATCTGCATATTCCCATATTGGAGGATTCTCGTCCTTATCTTTGGTTTGTCCATTGTGGGGTGGTGTATCAATTTCATGGCCTACCCTTTGGGCTGGCTTTGGCGTCGTATTTTTTCTGTTGGGTGGTGCGAACCTTCGCTCTACATTTTCATGCCCTGAGGTTGCACTTTCACTTTTACGTGGACAACTGACTCCTTCTCACTCATTCTGAATAAAAACAGTTTTGATTTCTAATAAGTTGAGTTAGATTGTTGTTAAAAAAATCATGTTTAACAACATATTGTATGACTTTTTTTTGATGAAGTTTGTTTGAAGTAATCGTTGTTGTCACCTGATGGGTCAGTGCTAAGTTTACAGACTTACAACACTAAAATCAGTGGTTTGATTCCCTGAGTTAGACAAAGTGCAAATAGCCCACTATGAGCTTTGCACTAAGAATGAAGCAACAACAATAATCCTTGTTTTTATACTCGCCTTTATGCTCTTTCATTGTAAAGAATTTAAATTGTATTAATTAAGGATTGATACTCATACATTGCTCTAGCTGTCGAAAATATACTCAGTGACTTCTCTCCCTAATCATGCTGAGTGACCCATGTAAAACTTTGTACACTCAATGAGTGGCATACTGGATGTTTCATATCAAACTTTATATAGGTTTCATGATACTTTTGGCATGGTTATATGCTCAGGATTGAAATAGTTACATGTTATAACAAAGTTCTAAGTTTTGTGGTATGAACTTGGCTAAAATAATAGTAATTTCCACGTGTTATTGTTAACGTGTGTAGAATTAATTAATCTATATAATCAATCTGAAATGTTTAAATATCTTTTTTTAAAGATTGCTGAAATGTTAGTGGATATTATCAATGCAGTAATGAATGTCGATCGACGCCTTCTACGAGCAGCACAGACTGAAGATAGATCTTGTTCAAGGTAAATGTTGTTTTTTATGTATTATTTCTTTTTAAATCCATGTTTTTTAGATGGAAAGTCACTAATTTATCAAGTACAAGTTGGAACATATTTAAGGCTTAATTTTAAGTGATTTAATAGCAGATTTTTTATTTGTGGGCTACTTTCGCATATGTATAGTAAAACACAAGTCAACTTGATATAATATTAATAATTTGTTTCAACTACTTTTGTAATTCCGTTCATAAAGAAATAACATATAGGGGATTCGTAGAGTTAACATTTTTTTAAATGTTTTGTTTGATTGCTCATGTACTTAGTTTGAGAACTTTTCACAAGAGATTGGTGCACCAGTGAGTACTGTTGAAATGCTTGTTCTGTACCACGTTAAAAATATGTATTAAAGTTTTTTAAAACAAGGAAGGAAGGTTAAATGTATCAAAAAGATGGGAAAAATAATTGCTTGATGTCAAAAGTTACCTTCGGGGAAGCACTGGGGGGGGGGGGGTAAATAATATTCCAATTTTATTTGAAACAGTTTAAATTCTAGAAACTACTGTACTTGTATTAAAATGAAGAGAAATGAATTGGTATTGTTGAATGTGATATTTAACTTGTCTTTTTTTTTTCCTAATTTTAATGGTTTTCAAGTTGCATAACAAAATTTTGATCTTTTTTATTGTTTTATCTAATTACTTATTTTATTCAGCTTTTTTGTTGTACTAACACCTTGTAGACATGTTTACTTCTTCACACACAGTCTCTTTGGTGCACGTATTTGTGCGAGTTTTGGATATTATATTTTATAATACATTAAATAAAATGTGTGTGACAATTAACAAACTTTATCATTTCTTTGTGATGGACATTTTTCCTCAATTACTTTTTTATCAAGATATGTGAGATAAAATATAATAATTTCCTACATGTAATTTAAAAACTGTAAAGCTCTTGTGTTAACCATGTTATATAAAAACATTATAAATACCATTAAGCATGTGATTTAAATGCAGTGTTGCACTATACACAGAAATTGATATATTAGTATTTTCTTCTGTTTCTGTATCTGTCCTTAGCACTATATAAAATTTGTCAATGTGTGTAATGTTTATATTAAAATGTGACATCTAAAACATGTCAAAAAGTTGATTTTGCATTTTTTCTTGTTAAATCTTTAACAGACTGTACTTCTAATATTTTATTGTTATCCAGTAGCTTTCCTTTTTAATCTTATTTCGTGTTATGCAGTAGCTTTCCCTTCTAATCTTATTTTGTGTTATGTAGTAGCTTTCCCTTCTAATCTTATTTTGTGTTATGCGGTAGCTTTCCTTTTTAATCTTATTTTGTGTTATCCAGTAGCTTTCCCTTCTAATCTTATTTTGTGTTATGCAGTAGCTTTCCCTTTTAATCTTATTTTGTGTTATGCAGTAGCTTTCCCTTTTAATCTTATTTTGTGTTATCCAGTAGCTTTCTCTTCTAATCTTATTTTTGTGTTATGCAGTAGCTTTCCTTTTTAATCTTATTTTGTGTTATCCAGTAGCTTTCTCTTCTAATCTTATTTTGTGTTATCCAGTAGCTTTCCCTTTTAATCTTATTTTGTGTTATGCAGTAGCTTTACTTTTTAATCTCATTTTGTGTTATCCAGTAGCTTTCCCTTCTAATCTTATTTTGTGTTATCCAGTAGCTTTCCCTTCTAATCTTATTTTGTGTTATCCAGTATCTTTCCTTACTAATGTTTTTCATTGCTGTCCAGTTACATTCCTTGATAATCTGAAAACATAGATAGTTATTTCATATTTTTAGGTATAAAAATAAGTTAGTTTTCCCTATTGTCAATTATTAGTTTTTATTTAGCATCATAAGTATTTTAATTTTTAGCTTATAAATTTAATTTCCTTACATAGCTTTTGAAATTAACTTATAATTCTAAGCTGTTTTCTGTTGTAAAAAGTTCTAGAACTATTGGTATTATTAATTTTGCTGTTTATTGTTTCTGTCTACAGAGATATTATGAGCTGATTCTTCTTTCCTGCAATATTTTATAGTATTAAGCAGCTGACACTCTGTTACAGATACTTTTAATTATTTTGCATGAATACAGAAATGTATGCATGCATATTATTTTTTAAAACTGAAATTAGATTTTAAATTTACTTTTTTCATTAAACTTCATTTAAACTGCTGATTTTTTAGTAATAAAATACTTAAACATATAATTGTTCAGAGAAACTTCTGGTCCAAAAAAAAACATTTCTCTCATGATAATGGATTAAAATATCAACTGCATTTCATGTACCTTGATGAAAATACAAAGTCCAAGCATAGGTAATAAAATTATTGCTATTTTTTATCATGAGATATAATACGTTCTTCAACAATAACCTTTTCTATAAATTTCATTTGTTAATTGTTTGTATAATTCAGGCTAGTTGGAGTTCTCAGACAGTTACCAGAGCTTTCAGTTGACACAGCCCTGAATCGTTATCGGAGTAACCTTGTTATGGAAGAGTTTATTGTAAAACCTGAAGTGTTTCAAGGAATGGCATGCATATCACATACAGTCAGAATGGCTGGTCAGCCAACTGATGGTCAACATTTTTGGCCCAATAGTCGTGGTTTTTTCAATGATAAATCACTTCATTGTCACACAGTGAACATCAGCACATTGAGGAGAACTAATGAAGACCAGGTAAGATTTCATAAACCTAACTTTGTTTTTAACTTTTTGGGGGTTTCTTTACACAAGAGATATGAGTTGATGATTTCTAAAAGCCATGTTGTCTTATTTGTTTGACATCTTCTTATTGTTTATTTAGTTAATAAATGTATAAAATGCTTACTGATTGTATGTAGTATTCTAATTAGTTTATTGAAGTTAACCATGTAGAATTGGTGCAGTTTTTGTGTGTGCAATTAATTATTACCAGTCATCAAACAGGAAGGTTCTACTGACTAAGATGACACTAATTATTACCAGTCATCAAATAGGAAGGTTCTACTGACTAAGATGACACTAATTATTACCAGTCATCAAATGGGAAGGTTCTACTGACTAAGATGACACTAATTATTACCAGTCATCAAATAGGAAGGTTCTACTGACTAAGATGACACTAATTATTACCAGTCATCAAATGGAAAGGTTCTACTGACTAAGATGACACTAATTATTACCAGTCATCAAATAGGAAGGTTCTACTGACTAAGATGACACTAATTATTACCAGTCATCAAATGGGAAGGTTCTACTGACTAAGATGACACTAATTATTACCAGCCATCAAACAGGAAGGTTCTACTGACTAAGATGACACTAATTATTACCAGTCATCAAACAGGAAGGTTCTACTGACTAAGATGACACTAATTATTACCAGTCATCAAATGGAAAGGTTCTACTGACTAAGATGACACGAAGACATATATGAACAAAATTAGAAACTCTCAACTAAAGTCACTTTCATACAGATCAAACAGCCAAGATGATAGTGTGGTTTATATACCACCTACAGTGTTATAACAAACCACACATATTTTTGACATGTGCATATTTTCTTTTAAAAATAAAGTTCCAAATAAAAAACACGGGGTTACCACCAGATGTCTCAGAGAGTCAGATAATACTGTGAAAGTATGATGTAACTTGTTTGGAAAAATCAAGAGCCCACATATTATAGAAGAGGTGAAATAACATTACAGTAGAAAGTAAATCACAGGTTAGGAAGTACAGAAATATGATTTCTGTGCTTAGTTTATAGTACAGACATTTAAGTATTGTTTCACTAATTAACCCTTTCCCAACAGGGTTATACACTTTACGTCACCTGGACTGGGGAAGACATTTATACAATAATACATATGGTAACTCTGAGATATCCTCACAAAACCTGGTAATATTTTGTTAAAGATTACAAGTATCTTGTACATAAAAGTGACAGTATTTTAATTACATCTTCCTAATAAAAACATGTTATTTATCTATAGTTGTTATTTGCACTCAAACTCTGAATGGTTCCAGTGTAAGGTGATTTTCATTTTAAGTATAGAAATACTTCATCTTATAGTTTACAAGTTTCATTTCAATAACCTCTAGAACCTCCTAAATGTTTATATTTTATTTCTCATTTTCTTTACCATATCATTAACTCTAGCTATTATCATCAACGTACAATGCAATGAAATGATTAAAATTATTAAATAGAAAAAAGTACACCTTCTAATTTTTTGTAGGATATCTTTAAAGATCTTTTGGTTATATTCATAATTTCAGGTCTTTTACTTTTCACATCTAGTTTTTTTCGTCCTTTACCATTTATTCTTCAACTCAACACAATTCAACAATGTCCTCGAGGCATATTACAGTATCTATGACAGACATGCACAACCCTTCGGCAAAATTTTCATCCACTGCATAATATCATAAGCCTTGAGAACTGATGCAAAGTATGTTGTATATTTAAAAAGGTTTTAACCTTTCAATTATGTATTTTAAACATAAATAATACATAATTAACTAAAATATAATAGTAAGACCTAAATACAATTTAACAGTATAGCATATTTAGGTAAGAAACAACATAAATGCTATAGTTGATAAAGCAGCCAACAATACTACAGGTACCCAGTGACAAAAACTGTATGGATTATAGTTAAAATGAGTTTTTTCTATTGGCTATATACATGCGTATGTAACCTCTATATGTAGGCTATATAGATCAAACAAATCTGTTGAAGGTGGGTGTGGCACCTATCAGGGGTTAACAAAATTTATTACTTGTTTCAACTGTATTCATCCAGAGAGCTTTGAAGTATACGTGTCAGTAGGTTAAGTAAACATCTTATTGTGTAGACATACATATATACATCTACACATCTGGAATTATATTATTGGAGATGCGAAGTGACAAAGTAGATAATTTTCATAGCTCATGGGTCACATGAGAATGCATCTACAGTTTTAATTAGTTTTTCAAAAATTTCTTTTGAAATAAAGGACTTAAAACTTAGATAACATAAAATTTCGACTCCTAACATACATTATAACGTTAATTTCAATCACATACATTGATAGTAAAGGTGTTTGATTAAATTTTGAATGAACTTGTGATTTGTGTTTAAAGGGTGCTCACTGCAAAAGGGTTAATGTGCAACCAGATAATAGCCATTAAAAAAAGGTGCTTTCAGTTTAATTTGTGCCCCTCTCTCCCCCAGTTGATAAGCATTAAGCATGCAGGCTTACAACATTAAAAATCAAGTTTTGATACCAGTGGTGGGAAGAGCACAGATAACCTATTTTTTAACTTTATGTTTAAGAACAACCAAGCCAGAATTCGTAAGATTTAACTGATGTTTGTTTGATTAAAATTGTGTATTATTTGTATTACACAATGTAAAAACCATTATTTGAAAATTTGTCCTTTGTTTGTTCAAATACAGTATATATTGAAATGCTTAAAGTACTACACTTGTGTAAGTTTTCACACAGATGTATTAAAGAAATAAAGCCAAAGTTTAATGGTACACAATCAATATTTAAAATGAAGATGAAATAAAATACTGTGAAACTGAGAACAGTCACATGCACTATACATGTTTCAACACCTTACTGTGTCATCGTAAGGAATGCAATATTTTTCATGCGTTAAGACCTCTGTATAATCTCAAAAATCACATGATCAAACTTATATACAATTTAACTTAAGGCATTTCATGCCATTTATTACTATTTAATAGAAAAGACTATGATTTAAAAACTGAAGAATTAATCCAATAAACAAACTCAATACAATGGTAAAAAAAATTAGTAAACTGTATAACTTAACATTTCAAGAAATGCAAGCTTTAATTTCAAGTAACTTTATATTACCTAGATTATATGCTAAAGTCCATAAGATTGGTAACAGTTTACATTACAATCAGCACCATATTTGTCACTTAACACTGAAATAAAATGATTCTTAATTAATTTAAAATAACTATATGACTGTAGTGTATATTACTGTAAAATATCATTAATTGTTTGACCTACAGTGTCCATATTACCCTCTCACTTTCTCCTCTATCTTGTGCCATGTGAATGATGCAATACCTTTCTCCCAACAAAGGATGTTTTTCTTTCAGAGTCTTGATGCTTCCATTTATTTGCCGCCCTCATTATTCCGACAGCCAGATTCCTCCGAGGCTTTAACAAAGGCCACCAGTCACAAATTACAGTTTCTTGTTTTTCAAAACAGTATCTTGTTTCCACGGCCAGCAGAATTAGCTAGACACAAGGACATCACCTCAGCTGTTATAACCAGTAAAGTTGGTACGTTCAATTCCTTCTTTAAGAAATTAAAGGTAATATTCTTGCAATTGTTAAGAAACATTACTTAAACAAATTCCCTTTAAAAATGTTATTTTATTGAATTAATACATCCTGTATTTATGAGTATCTGTATTTTCAGTATTGGATAAATTAATAAAAAATAGATAATAATGTGGCCTTAAACAAAACAATTCATTATAAATGTTTTATTTAACGAGATTGGTACTTTTATGTTATATCAAAGTACATTTAGGGATGGTGCAATGACAAATTTGAAAATCAAAAAATTTGTATTTGTTTATCTTTCTCCATATAATGATTCATTTTGTTTCTTTCAGCCAAAGTTTTCCTTACAAACTTAACGGATCCTGTTTATGTAACTTTGACTGCACCACTTTACACAAATGATATCACACCAGTGTGGTGGAACCAAGATATTAATGGTAGGTGTACAGAAGATATCACAAGAACATGATGATACAATAACTGTAAATACATTAATCACAAGATATTACCCAAGTATGATGATATCATGATGATGTTGGTTGATAAATGCAGCAACTTCTTCATAAGAGTTATTCAAACGTTACATCAATCGTGTGTGGATCATTTTTTATTTTACTGGTATTTCAGTAACTATACAGTTCACTGTCATTAGGGTTAATGATAACTTAAATTAGTGATCACTTCTATTCTGCATTACAATAGCTAAGTAAAAAATAATACTTGTCATAATATCCAATGACACTGTGGTATTTTCTCTGCTTTGTAATTTTAACTTTATAAGATGTAATAATATATACATCTCATAGTTTTTATATATCTTAATAACATTAAAATGACAACATTGGACTAGTGCAATAATCCAGTAAACAAAGAAGTTATATGTACTTTGAAAATAAAAATAATAAGATGCTCATATTAAATAGTACTTTATAGAAATACACTAAAAAATATTCTTTGCCTTACTTCAATAACTTACCATTCAGGTTTAACTCTCTCACTACAGGCTCAGTCGCAGGGACTGACTTTGTAATATTTTGTGCTTGTTATAGTTTTCATGCTATAACTTTTAAAACAGTAAGATTTTCAAATTTTTTAAGTAATGATTTGCTCATGCATGTTTTATTTTCAAATGTTGACCGGCCAATATACAAAGTAATTTTGGTTTTAAGATTAAAAATACTTTTATGCATCAGAAAATTGTCAAATTTGACATGCAAAATCCTTATAACCTCCCAATAATCTTCAGATAATTATCAAAGGTTTTGTTTTAGAAAAACTATAATTTATCTGTTATTTTCACTATTGTATCTCTGTATGGGTTTGGTTGGTTTAACTTACCTCATAACCACAATAAAAAAAATTAGGAAATAGATATAGATTACACTTTTTTCATTCTAGAATGACTACAAATTATAACAAGAAACTACAAATGTTTAGTCTAAATAGCTTAAATCTCATAAAATTATACATCTGTATATATGTATTATTTTTATTTTATTCACCTTTTAGCCATGTGTGACTAACATTACAGAAGAGTTACTGTGAATCCCAACAAAATAACCTTTTGTCTTACTCCAAAACTGCTTTCACCTTATTAGTTTTGCATGTCAGATTATAAGGTTACCAGTGACTTGCTCATGACCAAGCATTATCACTATTTCTTGCTTCGATTTTTCATTCTTCTTGTGACATATAATGATTTCTTAGAAGTTCAAATAAGTAATGTTGTTTTGACTTCTTTTACACACTTCAACACTACTATTTTAACTATGTGGTGTATCTGTGTATATATACCCACACTACATTCTCTCACAGAGCATGCTGTGTAGGTCATGTCACATGTTAACCCCACATGGGCTGATGGGCAGCTCTCCAGGATCAAGAGGGCACTCTTACATATAAAATTTTACAAGTTAAGTAATTAAATAATGATTTTAACTGTACTTCAACTATTTATTTGTTGAAAAATATCTAACAATTAATATTTTGTAAAATTTATATATTGTAATTTACAAAGAAGAAGAATAAATAAGGAATACAACGTTAAAATCATTAAACAATAAGTAGTTATTAAAAACAGGGACTTTCCCTAAAATGACTCTACATATGTATCAGTGTCCTATGACACCATCTTCACGAGTAATGGTAAAGGCATGGCAAGGACTTCTATACCCATATACCTACTTATATACCAATAATTCCATCTAGGTTTAAACTATCCAGAGTTACAAAATATCTATCCAGTACTTTCTAGACCTGGACCAGTTTCCTTGTTTAATACGGCATCTTTGTTTTTGGTTTTTTTTTCAATTTCAGTAGTTTCTCCGATATTTGATTCAGTTTTAAATTCTACCTGTTTTATCAACTCAGTGTTTAACATGAGTTGTTTCCTCTACATGTTCTGCTAATACAAATTCATTTACTTTGTTTTTTTTCTACCACGTTTTTATATTCCTTGATCCTGAATTTTAAGTTTCTACACATTTGGCCAATATAAACTCAACCACAGATACAAGGAATTTTATCAATCCTATATTTATCAATTTCTTCTAGAAAGCCCGTACACATTTATTTTTAGAATTTTTCTGCCCATCACAAAGTATAATTTATATTTACCCAGACCTTGGCATCCCTTACAATTAGATTTATCCAAGGTTTTGTTTCTCTCCTTATTTTACTTTTAATGAAACTTCTGTTTAGTGGCTTTTATCACACCACAGAGAGTGGGCTGGACAGTAACTAATAAATCTTAGCCTCCAAACAAGGTAGAACCAGTGGCTAAACATGATTGATTAGATAATATTGTCTGTCTATGTTATTGTACAGTAAAGAACACTTGGGCATTCAGTAATGTTTTATTTCTAAAAAAAGTGAGTTGTAGATGTTCTCATAGTGTAGAACAAAGGATTTTATTGCAAAGTTTACAAAACTCGGGAAAATGCCACAAAACTAAGATTTTTTTGTAGTTTATTTTGACTATGTTTTCGTTTGTATTATCTTTTTCTGTTAAAATGTTTTAGTACTACAGGAATATTCATATATGAGAAGACATAAGGTAAGGATATTTTGGGTTAGTGAGTACAGTAGGCTGGGAGTTTGCGATGTCAAATTATTCAGATGACAGAAAAGTTTTTTTAATTGCATGCATTAGTAAATCTACTATTACTCAAACAACACATACAAGTACAACAACTCCTTAATTATTGAAAACAAACTACAATTATTAGAGCAAAATTGAGCTTGGAAAAAAATATAATATTAAAATTATCACCTACATTAGTGTAGGTCTAGAATATATGTACAAGTTATATTTCTATTAGTCATTGCTTTTACTGTTCATCAGTGTTTTGTATTATTTTCATGGTTAAGAACTGTTTCAGTAAGTAAAGATAAATAACAAATCTAAATAACTGAGGAAAATAAAACAAGTTATACCTAATTGGATATATAAAATAGAAGTTTATGATAAATAATAATAAAAAAAAAACAGTTTAATTTCATCAGTATTTTCAATAATTACTTTCTTTGTCTGCAAGAGCTTGTACAAACAGACAAGAAAATGTTGTTATTTGAACAATACAGACAAAACAATTATCATTTTTATTGTCTATGAGGTACATTTTACATGATTTTAGGTATACAATAAAGAATGCTTCCTAGTGACACAGTGATGTGTCTGCAGACTTATACTGCTAAAAACCGGGTTTCAATACCAGTGATGTGCAGAGTACAGATAGTCCTTTGTGTAGCTTTGCGCTTAGTAACAAACAACAATAAAGAAGCAAAACTTTAAGATGAAAGGACACATTTTTTAATTCTTTTTTAAACAACATTCAAAACAAAATCTACAAAAAAAAATTCACAATCTAAAATAGTATACAAATGATGAACCAAATTATATCTTGTTTATCCTGCTTTGCAAAAATTTATATTTGTGTCCCCCAGTCTTATTGTTCTCGCCATTAAGTATGAAAAAGTATGATGCATCAGCACTATCAGTTTCTTATCCATTCTTAAACACTTCAATCAGATTCCCTGTAACTTTTCTTTTTTCAAGAGAAAACAGTTTCAAGGATCTTAATCTCTCATATGACAAACTCTCCATCTCAGGCATGTTATTGGAGAAGTTCTGTGCACTTTTTTTTGGTTGGCAGTGATTTCATCCAACCTCATTAGGACTTGCCACTGGTAATCTAAAGGAAGAATGCAGGACAAGGAACAGTAGCTGCCCTATTAACATAGTATTGTTTGCAGATAAAACCAGTGCATTCTCAGTGCAGTCATTAGCTCCTCTGACCTACATTTTCCTACATCATTAGCCCCTACAACAAAAACTGCATGCCAGCCCTGTTTATTATGTCACTTGTTCTATCAGTTATATCTTCCACCTGTGCCCCTGCATAGCATAATATAATTCTTTTATTCCTATTTACCCTACAGACTATCCTATCCACCTGTCAAGGAATCACCTATAACCTCCTTATCATTCACATCCATCTCTGACCCTTTTGTTTTCCTTCCCTCCAGTAGTTCTCAGCCAATAGAATAGGCTCATTACAATTAAATCCACTACTTTTAGCCCTAATAGTACTTTTTCTAACTTCCTGAAAGTCATTGTTGGCTGATGTATCCCTTGCATGTAAAAGCTTAAGCTCCTCTTGAAATCTTGCTGCCATTTCCCACAGTTTACCCTTCTTTTTATCTATTTCCTCTAATTAGGATAGCTTCCAACTTCTTCTCCAGCCTACAAACTCTACATACAAATTGCACATCTTCACTACTAGTACTATCTTCCTTAAAAGTACATACCAGTCCTGAGTTCCCAAATAAAAACTACTCATTGCACCCATCACACTTAACAAACTATGAATGCTTAATTCCAACATTAGTCTTAACCATTGTATTTGTAACTTTGAAATAAACACTCAATACTAAATGTAAATACCAGTAGCCTACTGCCAACACTGTTAAGGCTAATGTTTTAGAATCAAATATATTACAGTATTTTATTACTACTTTATGTTCACATGAAAGTAATTAATTTTATCTTTAATTTTATAGAAGTGACAAATAACTAGACTGTACTTTATATGATATTAACATAATATTAAAGTGTAATAATTGCCAGATTTATAACCTACCTATAAACTGAATTTAAACTAATGGATCTAGACTATAGTCAAGTAAACAAGATGATCCTTAAAACACAGAGACAATTAACTAGCCTTTAGATTGTATTTGTTTGATAAAACAGTGTATTTAACCTGTTTCACAATTTACTGGTAAGATAAATTACAGGTAAGCTTAAAAAGTACCATTACATGTTTTAAGCCTAATCTATCATTGTATTACAGATTGCACCACCAAACTCTAATATAAAATTTTATACCTAGTATTTTTATTTACCAATTTTAATACATCTGGTTATGATTGTTGTTTAAACCAAGTCACTACAAATGATAATATTAATATTAAATATTATTCAAAAATCTATACTAGTATAACAGCTTTTATCTTTCCCACCTCTTCTCTTTTTTGTAGCGCCCTCTCATTATGTAAAAAAAAAAAATCTGTTGCTTGTCATTCAGCATGACAAACTGTATGTGTGTGTGTGTCAGGTTGTTAAACACTTTGAACATTTACTTTAAGAAAGGAAAGTTGATTGATATAACATAAAACTTGTTCATTCACCTTTGTGTGGTTGTACAAACAATGCACTGTATTTTGTATACTATAACCTGATGAATAAACCATTGGTTCATGAATTGTGTAAACTTGCTTATGGTCCACTCTGTATTATAACTATAATAGGAAAGTTCTAATTAACATTTACTTGTTTTTAGCAGTTTATGTGATACATGTTTGTCAGTAAATTGTTTTCACTTAAAAAACTAAATGAATTTTTATATACCAACAGTTAACTCAGAAACATTATTTATCTTTGAGAAATATAATTTGTACTAAAAAGCACAAATACTGTACACTAAATATTTCTCTTACTGTGAAGCTCAAAATAATACTCACTGTACGCATACAAAAAGGTTACAAATTTATTCCAGATTTAACTTACTTAAAACAAAGAACCAAAGATGAGCCACTCAGGTGAAAGAAACAGATTATAGATTGGTATATAATGTTTATTTTGTAGATCTTAAATCACACTATAAGCTGTTTACAGTTAACAATCAAGTAGTACTGTATAATCACAAACATAATGGCCTATAATTTTCTAAATTTAATGGAATACAGAGATTTCAATCAAAAGTTGTAAATATTATTGGTATGTAATATGCAGGTTGAAAGAGTATTGAATTTAAAAGAATATAATGATTCAGAAGTGGTAAATTTAATAGAATATAGAGATTGAAATTTAATAAGTATTTATGAATATGCAAATTGAAACACTGATAAAAAATCTAAAATATGTAGCTTGAAAGGTTTCTAAATGATCATTTGGTTAGATTATATCAATAGATTATTTGTGCTCTGCCAGTGAGGATATCAAAACCCGATTTCTGGCATCATAAGCCTTCATACTTACTGCTCAGTCACCAGGTAGTTAATTGTATTGAAAGATAGTAAATGTAGAAAAATTTCATCATAATATATAGGTTAAAGATTTTTATTACTGTGATTTTTGATTTAGTTAACTTTCTTTTATGCTATTTCAGATATTTATGTTTTTTAATGTGTAGAGTGTAAAAGAGTTCATGAAAACTTTCAGAAACAATTATATTTTACTAATAATTTATGAAAAAAGTAGCTTGTATCGTGTTTTTAAAACAGTATTCATGAAATCTGTATTTTACCTATAGGAGGCCATGGAGATTGGTCACATGAAGGTTGTATGATTCAGAACATCCATGAAAATCAGGTGACGTTTTCTTGTCATCGACTAGGAACTTTTGGACTGTTACAAGTAAGAAAACAATTTATAGTACTTTCAGTCAGTAAAACAATTTATATTACTTTCAGTCAGTAAAACAATTTATATGACTTTCAGTCAGTAAAACAATTTATATTACTTTCAGTCAGTAAAACAATTATGTTACTTTCAGTCAGTAAGATTGAAAAATGTGCTATAGCTGTAGCTAACTGAAATGTGCTTTATGTGTCACATTGGCACTTTTCAGGAGGAAATGAGTAGCTAATAAGACATGCAGGCTAGACTCCTGTAAGCATTTGACAAGATGCTTGAGAAGAAGTGTACATACTGTGGTTATTTGAACATTATTGCTTGAAAAATTTATATAATACATTAAACCACTATTATAAATATTTGTTACTAATCAGAGGAGGTGGATAAGTTTTGATGGTGCTGGCTCGACACCTCACATCTTAGGTAAATCTCCGATTTGTGTGTTATATTTGGTTATTTAATGCTAGTTTTTTTTCAGATAATGTGCACCTTTATTGTAAGGCCTTTTGAGTACTGTATAATTTCTGAACTATTAATATATGCTGTTGGGTTTTTTTTGTATCCTGTGAGTGGTATTCTTTGTTTGTGTTACAGGACCTTGATGCTCTGTTTCTGGAATACAGTCAACAACATGTGCAGTATAGACTTAGTCATCCAACCATCTACTTGGGTTCCTTGATCACTGTTTGTTGCCTTATTGTATCTATAGTTGTATACATTAGCTGTTTCAGGTATAATTCCTTTTAACAATACGTATTTCTCTATCCTGTGTTTATTCTAATGTTGTGAGACATACTGTATTTAAGGAGTGTTATTTGCTATGATGAGATAAATCTACAGTTAAACAGTTTAAATACAGATTTATTGTTAGCTCACTATTAATTTTCCCTAAGAAAGAGTCTGGAACAGAAAAGGCTTAACACTGACATATTGAAAATTCAGTGTTTCATTGGCTGCAGGTATTGTGTTTACTAAAACAGGTGGCAGAGATAATTGCTAGTGAAAACAAAAAAATTACTGTTATATAAGGTGTTAACATTAAACATTAAGAATATTGTGGATTTTTTTACTTTCAAAGTTGTTTACTCAGATAGACTGCACCAATAATAAACACAAATTGTAGTTATTATCAAGCTAAAAACCTTCTTCAACTATCAAGAAAGCAAGAATATAGTGTTAATATTTTGATTTTTTCAACTTGGCATTTCAGTAAGCACACATTTTCAACTCCAAATTATTGTGCAGAAGACACTAAATGTGCAGTTTTTCATACAAAACCTGTTTTCATTAGCTGAATTTTAGATTCGTAATTAAACTGAAATCATTATTACAAGTCCTTATTAAATGTAAGTCTAGTAAGTACTTTATCTTTTTTTCAATAAATCTTGTATTTTTCAAATATTTCCAGCAAGATTTGTATGCCAAAGAAGAACAAACACTCACTTCTAAACACCTGGCTAGCACTTGTTCTTCTGTGTTGTTTGTTTGCCCTTGGAGTGAAGCAGGTAGATATTCCCCTGGTGTGTCAAGCAATTGGTCTTTTGCTACACTATTTGACCTTGTGTGTGTTACTGTGGATGGTCATATCTGTCAGGTAGGATAAACTAAAATGTTTTGTTTGTACTTTTAAAAACTATCTTACTGTTTAACAGTAAGTTAACAAAACATGGCTTGTTCGTCACTTTTCCGCTTCTTATGTACCTATTTATTTTATGCTTAAGGTTAATGTTGATGTTTGGGGCTAGGAAATATATTTGAAATAATGTCAAGTTTCATTAAATAAATGTTATCCCCTAAGATTCAACACATACTGTTTACACATATACTCCTTTTTGTAAGTTAGGAACACATACTGTTTACACATATACTCCTTTTTGTAAGTTAGGAACACATACTGTTTACACATATACTCCTTTTTGTAAGTTGGGAACACATACTGTTTACACATATACTCCTTTTTGTAAGTTAGGAACACATACTGTTTACACATATACTCCTTTTTTGTTTTTGTAAGTTGGGAACACATACTGTGTACACATATACTCCTTTTTGTAAGTTGGGAACACATGCTGTTTACACATATACTCCTTTTTTGTAAGTTGGGAACACATACTGTTTACACATATACTCCTTTTTTGTAAGTTGGGAACACATACTGTTTACACATATACTCCTTTTTTGTAAGTTGGGAACACATACTGTTTACACATATACTCCTTTTTTGTAAGTTTCAAGCTCTTCATACTTAGCATGCAAATAACATGTACCTTAGTTTTTTAGATGTCTAGAACATTTCTATATATAAAGGTTAATCACCCATGCTTTGCTTCAGTTCCTGATGTCATTTCTTTCAAGGGTCTAACAGGTTTCAAAAGAGAATTGTAATAGGAGCATTTGTATCCAAGAGAGAGTGAATAACAGTAACTAAAGGAATGTCAGCAGGGCTGCTACTCACAAAGAGTAACAGTGTCAGTATGACCATGATATGTTGTCAGGACATTGAGCTGTGTTATTGAAATGGATCACCTTGTCAGCAGCAATCAGAATGTGCTGAAAATTCAATTCTGAACACAAGTGGGTACAAGTTGGGATAACATAACATGTAAGGATAACAAGGGACCTGTTGGACCATCTATGCTATCCCATCCACTGATCTAAATTTAAAAAAAAAATATATATATATAAATGCAAACACATATGTACAGGGCAGTCTAAAATTATTTTTTCTATTTTAAGACTGAATAGCTAACTAAGAAAATACAAGCATGCAGTTTTCAACATCTTGTAGCCCAACTCAAAAAATTTTTATTCACATGTCAGTAGACTTCTACATGTGCACTGTTAGTGGCTCTCAGCACATCTAACTGATATTCGATTTCAGTCCACATTCTCTGTAACAGTCGCCACAGTGACAGTGGTGATTGCATCCATTATCCTGGTTTTTAGTTCTGTGATGTTTGCAATAGGTCTGTGATACACAATATCCTTAACATACTCCTATACTTCTTTCTTTCCTGTACTGGTGTCTGTAATTGTGCTGCACCACTGACTTCATCTCTGCAAGTCAAACAGAAAAAATAAACATGACAATAAAAACTGTTTGAGTTGAGCTACAAGGTGTTAAAAACTGCATGTTATATTTCTTTAGTTATTTAATTATTAAATTTTAAAATAGGAAAGATAATTTGGACCACCCTTGATATGTATGTGCATTACCTTACATTTATTATAATTAAAAGCCATCTGCCATTTATTTGCTCATCTCACCAAATTATCTAAATTCTTGTGTACAGTAGCAGCATTCTTCTCACAGATCGCAACACCAAAATCTTCATTTCATCAGGAAATTTAGGTGATTCATTGATTATTTCTTTCTGTGTCATTGGTGTAAATGAAAAATGAGCAAAATTCCTAACATTGAGCTCTGAGTTACCCTACTTGTGACATTAATCCAGTTTGACTGAACTCCATTTATAACAAAACTGTTTTCTTCCATCCATCCACTTTTTTATCCAATGAACCAACTTTTTCCCCACAGAATTTTTATTTTCTGAAAATGATGGGAAGAACAATAGGTTTGCTAGAAGTCAGTCAAATACAACAAGTTATCAAGTCTTACAAAGTGGTATAGCAAGATGTTGACTCTCTTTCAGACCACCATTAAAGTTGGCCGTAGACTTGCACAGGCTAGGCCTTGTAAAAATCCTGTAAGGCTGCATCTATTGAACAACATGGGTTTGATACAGCTGGCAGGTTCCAGCTTCCCAACTGATTCAGTAATTCACAGCAGAAATGAATGACAAAGCAACTTTCAAGTAATCAGAAACACAATTTTTAAGACTGGTTTAGGCCATACAAACAGTTTTGTGCATTTCTCTAATCCAAAAAATAACCCATCTCCAATGGTGTTAAGCACATTGGGCTTAGTCGATGGGACCTGTTGAAGAATCTCTTGTGCACTGAGAAATCATGCTTTACATTGCTGCTGTATATGAGGTGTGTGCATTTGGAGAATGGCTGGGACCATGTCCAACCCTAGTTTCACAGAGGAAAGATGCACATATGATATTGGAGTATATCATGTAGCTTCATTAACCTTTATATGCTGTGACATGTAATTATAATAGTATAATGCATAGGGATTAAGTCTTACATTAGTGTTTACATATAGAGGTCAATTGATCAAGACAGTTTCTGTAAGATGATAACATGAACCTCTGTTTTGCTCCTCTGGCAGGCAACACTTTGAAAAACAAGAGGATATAAAACAAATGTACTGATTGAACAAGTATGTGATCTCTGGGTAGGTTCTTGGCAGCATGGGAATCTTCTCCAAACAATGTTAATGTACTGGAAACAACTCTGCATCAGTATGATTGGTGTAAGAAGTGACCACATGCTTTATTAACAGAAATTTTCTGACCATTTATTGAATTGCAAAGCCTGTAGTCCTAAATGAGTATTTGTGGACATTGACTTCAATATTATATATTTGCATATGAAATCACATGATTGGCCACCTACTACAGTGGGGTCAGAGTGCACATGTCATGTTCTTTTATAGTCTTACATTAAAGATATAATTAAAACACTTTATATCAAGGTAGTCAATAAACTTAGCATGGAAAGTAACTTATAAATAAGATGTTTATAATATCTGTATTTTAACTTCTTAATTTCAAAAAATAAAAAAACATTAAAGAAATTGTTGATCCTCATTTTTTGTGTCACGTGATGAATCTGAGCTCCGACTTTCCCCTTCAGTACTTGTAACGCATGTGACGAATCTGAGCTCTGACTTTTCCCCTTCAGTACTTGTAACATATGTGATGAATCTGAGCTCTGACTTTTCCCTTCAGTACTTGTAACACATGTGATGAATCTGAGCTCTGACTTTTCCCTTCAGTACTTGTAACACATGTGATGAATCTGAGCTCTGACTTTTCCCCTTCAGTACTTGTAACACATGTGATGAATCTGAGCCCTGAATTTTCCCCTTCAGTACTTGTGACATCAAATATAGGCTGCTGCAGTTTCCAACCAATTAGAAACACAAACTATACACAATTACAAGCAAGGATCTAAAATTTATACTTCCTACTTTTTTGGTTTGCTAAGATATCTATACATTTTTCAACCCTACCAGATAAGCACTTCTTACACTCTGAATTTTGACATTGTTTGCTAATCAGCTTACCAGAGTGATTGAAATGTTTATAACAAACCAAATAAATAACGTAGGCACCAAAACTAAATAACTGGTAACTAGATTCCTGTAGAGTAAACTGTGCTCTTACCAAATCCTAGTCGAATGTGTTAATTTCAGTACCATATTATTCCAATTGCTGTATTTCACTTTTGACAAATCATAGGTTGATAAGCAAAGCACATGACAAAATGTTGTACTCTGGATTTTACAATATGAATGTGAAGGGTGCTTATTATAGTAACTGCCATTTTATGTAGAGGTTGTATTTAGTAGTGGTCAATAGTACTTTTTTATAAGCCTTAGAAAATTTGCTTTTGGAAAAAACTGCATGTGATGTGTGTGAATTTTATTATTTTTCTATTGTACTTTAAGTCATGCTATATCGTATATCTATTTATATTAATCATTATATTGAAAAATTAACTCAAAATAGACATATTTTTAGGAAAGAAGTTGATCCACGAATGTTAGGGTTAAGATCTATCGAGTGGCGAGTGCATGGTCTTTACGTGAATTAGGCTTAGCACTTTGAACTGAAAGAGTTTGTGATTTTTATATTCTTTTGCATTTAAATTAGTAATTTTAAGTTCAGTAATTCAGCATAATTTTATATTTAGTTCATAATAAAAATGTGATTCAGTATTTAGAATGATAACCTTGTGTGATTTGTACATACTACTAGTACCACATAAGAATTTTATATTTTTCCTTCTTACTGTCTTTACTTTGTAGTAAGACCTACACTTCTGTTGTTGTTGTTGCTTTATAATTAAAACAGTCTAACTGATATATAAAAAGCTTATTCTGATATTTTGCAAATGGTTTAAAACTCAGTGTACAAGTGACAACAATAAAACCCATATGTTGGTTGTGAAACAGACTAAATACATTTGTCTCAATAATACAGGGGGGGGGTATGACATTCTCACAGTTGGGGTCTCAATACACTGAAGATCTTAAGTTTCAAATTCCAACATAAATCTTGCCTATAATGAGAGGAATGTGACCAGGATTAATCTTTTAAGTGCTTTAAAGTAATTTTCTTTGTAATTTATGGTGTCTGTATCCTTTGGTAATCTCTTGTAATAGGATGTATCATGTAACTAGGGTCAGGTGGTGTTATTAAAACCACCTGTACTGTAAATTATTACACACATTCACTAGTAGTGGCAATTAGCTTTGTCTGTATATTGAAACAACATACAAGGACATATGTTGAAATAAACTTGTTCGAAAGTTCAAAGAAATGATATTCAAGTACCGAAAAGCTTTCTTACTATCATATCTATAGTAATGTTCAAATGCACCTACACTGCTAACCTCACAGTTTTTTAGCATAATAAACAAAAGTACAGCTGCAATGAAACATAAGCTTGAAATAAAAATACATTTATGAACCAAAATTAAAATATTTTTTTATGTACATATATAAACACGAAATCCTTGTTTAAAATAAAAAAATACTCGTTTAGGTTTACTTAGAAATATTATATTTGGGCCTTGTATATTACTTGAAACCATAAGGAGAGAACGTGATTATTAAAAAAAATTAAAAATAGATAAAATTTGCATTTTATGGATGATAAACATTTTTTAGATATTTTAAAATAATGTACTAAAACATGATAAGTAATCAGTTCAAATCTGTTACAAATATAATTATCGTAATTATTTCTTATAAAATCCATTTCCTAATGTTATTTTCAAATATATTAAAGATTATAATG